TATTAAATACTAAGAAAGAAAATAATAATCATAAAAAAGAATTAATTAATCACAAAGAAGAATCAAAATCAGAATTGGAACTAAATAATACTATATACTGTAAAGGTATTGTAAAAAATCAAATAACTTGAATAATTATTAATAGCAAATCAATAAGTAACATAATATTCAGAAAATTTCTGAAACAAATAAATCAAAAAATTGATTAGTCTTCAAATATTAATTTGGTTGATATAAATAAAAATATAAAAGATCTCTAGGAGAAATAAAGCAATTGAAAATCAATATTAGAAATAGTGAATAACAAATTAATATATTAATTATAAAACACATTGAATATAATCTATTACTCAGTATCAATTAGATGCACAAAAGAAAAGCAATACTAAATTGGCAAAAAGATTAACTAAGTTTTGAAGATAATGGAACATCTTATTTTATATAATGCACTTGTGTTAAATAATATTTACCTCACCCATCAATAAAATTTGAAGAAATCTTGAAACCAAATAAAATAAAATCACCAGATGAAATTAATCCAGAAGAATATGAATATAAAGACTTAATTGATTAACTGATCTATATCATCAATGAAGAACTTAATGATTAATTCATTTTACAAATAAAAATTCAAGAAAAATTAGTAAAAATAAATGATAAAACAATTAAACAAATTGAAGTCAAAAAAATTTGTTGAGAATGATTAGAAAATTATCACAAAAGTAAACATGATCAACAAGATCTTAACTGTTATTAATATATTAAAGAACAACAAATTTATAATTAATTAGAAATTTGTTCACAATTATCACTAAATATAACAACTATTTTAATTGATTTAGATATAAATTCAGTATAACAAAATTAATTTAATCAACTTTTAGCTGAATATAATGATCTTTTTACTGATAAATCTGGTTGCACTAATATAATATAATATGAAATTCATTTGAAAGAAAAATGACTCATCATTTTATATCTATATTATCAAAAGTTATCTCTGAAAAATGCATTTTTGAAAGATAAATACAAAAAATATTCGATAATAAAATAATATCTCATTTAGATAGTTCTTAATTTATCTCTGTTATTATAATATATAAAAAGAATGAAAAATTTAGATTATATATTGACTATCACAAACTGAATAAAATTATCAAAAAAGATTGATACTCTCTTTCAAGAATTAATAAATTATTGAACTCATTTAAGAATATTAAGTACTTCATTATAATAGATCTCGCAAGTGATTTTTGGCAAGTTGAAATACATTTAAAAGACAAAGAGAAAACAATATTCATTATAAATCAAGAATTATTCTATTTCAATATTATATTATTTGGCTTAACTAATGGTCTTGCCATCTTCCAAAGATTGATAAATTGAATATTTAAAGAATATACTAGAAAATTCATTGTTATTATTTGGATAATGCTACTATATATTCAGAAACTTTTGAGAAATATCTCTAATATATTCAAAAAATTCTGAATAAACTTTAACAAGTCAAATTGTGATTGCAATTAGATAAATGTTACTTTACTAAAAATTAACTTTCATTCTTAAAATATATTATTGAAAAAGAAGATATCTGACTGAATCTAGCAAAAATTAAAAAAGCCAAAGAATTTTCTGTTCCTACAAATTTTATATCATTATGCAGTTTTATTGAACTCACCATATATTACAAATATTTTATTAAAGACTTCACAAAAATAGCAGTATTACTTTACAAATTTTTAATTATATAGACAAGAGATTAAATTTAATAGCGTATATTCTATAAAATAATAATATGAATTTATATTAATGTTCTAACTATAAATAAAATAGTAATAACAAATTAGAATTCTCTAACAAATTTTGTGTGGCAATACTGTAATAAATAATTTTATAATATAACAAATAAAGATAATAATATTGATAATTATTCAGTAATTTATATAAACTGAATATTATAATTGAATAAACTGTATTATTAAATATTAAAATCAAAAAAGTAACAAAAATAATATTAGTTTATTATAAGAGAATTTTATTTTATATAATAAAAGAATTGTGAACTGATGTTTTAGTTACTAAAAAATTGAAATTTTTATTATTATTAATTTAATCAAGTAGTTATTATTTTCTTTTGAAATTATCTTAAGATACTTAAAATCTCTTTATTTGTTTTAATTCTGTATAATATACTAAAATCAGAATATGTTTTGCAATATTAAAAAATATAGTAATGATGATATAATAAAAATAATATTAAATAATAATTTATCTTTATTTGGAATATACAAACTAATACTTGTAAAGCCTAAATATTTAATAATATTTTAATTAATATGAAATATAAGTATAATTTATATTTAGTATCAAAAGATTTTTGTATCAGTTTGAATTGAAATTTGCTTTATAATAAAGACTCAACTAATGTAAATTGCATTTGAATAAATTTTTTGTTTTTTAATTGAAAACTTTTTTTATCTTTTATTTTATTGAATTTTTATCTTTCTAAATTAAGATTTAATAATTTCTTTGTATACTTTAAAGATCTGTAGTACTGTGAATGCAAAAAAAAGTGTTCAATTTGTAGTTATTTTGATAGGAGATAGATCTGATAAAGTTCCAAATTTGTTTAGCACTTGTTTTGTTTTCTGGAATATGATCCCAGCATTTTTTAATAATAAACTTGCATCATTCAGGAACATTATTAGATATCATGACTTCGCTTACTGAATAGTTGTTCACCCATTACAATCTCATATATAACTATTCTACAACTATAAATATCTGCAGTTTGAATGTATAACTTTCCATTTAGTACTTCTGGACTAATATAAGGAAGTGCTTCATAAATTCTTTGATTAGATTTTCCTATATCTGTTGAGCAGGTAAGTCCAAAATTGGCAATGAAAGGAATATAATGTAATAATATCGATATATTTCCAAGGTGAAGATCAAATCCCTCATCATGAATTTTATGCAGATCTTTAATAATATCTATACGTATATATTCTAAATTTTTGTTCCAATTCATTCTTTCGTAATCGGAATGAATATATTGTCATCTTTTGCATAAGTCATTACTATCGAATATTCGTTTGTAGCTGAGTTTTTTATTTATTCCATAATATTTTATTCCAACAGAACTATGAAGTACTGAACACTTTAGAGCAGTCTGAATCTATTTTGAAAAACTTTTTTTAGAAACAAAAAAGCATCTGGTTTACACTTTAAAAATTGTCCATTTTATCTCATTTATAAACTCAGATGTGATGTGATTTGATTTAAATTGCATAATGATTTCAATACAATTTCGTGCTCACTACGACGGTTAAATTTAATTTCTGCATGATCCCATTCATCATTCAATGGTTCATCCAACCAGTTTGCTTTATAAATTATTGTAAAATCCCCTTTTGAAAGATATTTAACATTGGTAAATCTTTCAAAAGGAATCCATTCAAATATTTTTGAACTTTAGTGCATTCTTTACAAGACTGTCGATATCTTTATTGTTGCTGGACCATTCAGCGTTATAAAATTGATAGTTGTAATTTGAACATTCAAAACAGTAATTATTATTTTGACAAAAAGTGCATTTCATACAATTATGTTTTTCTTGATTATGAGTATTCATTACTACTAGATATTCATTTATAGCTAGATTTTTAGTTATTCCATAATAATTTATTCCATAATATTTGGTATCAAAAGTGCACTTTAGAACAGTCTGAATCTAATTTTGAAAAATTTAATTAGCCAAACATCATTCATGTGGCCAAAACTGTTGAAGAAGCCAACTCAGAAGAACCAACTACAACATATCATCAAACCCAAAGCAGACCAATATCTGATAGACTGAAAAACAAAAAAAGCAATATGCTTACACTTAAAGGTTCCATTTTACCTCGTTTATAAACTCGGATGTAATTTTTTTTGAATTGTGTAATGATTTCAACACAACTTCGCATTTGCCATGTCGTTTAAATTTATTCTCTACATGATCGCTCCATCCAACCAGGTGCGAATTGTTCTAAAACCACCTTTTGCAATAACATTGGTAAATCTTCAAAAGGGATCCATTTATTCTTATTAAGATTATTGCATTCATTTATTAAACTGTCTATATCTTTATTCCCGCTAGTCATATAAATTCGTTTGTGATATTGAATACATCCTCTGCGGTACTTGTTTGCTTTGCAACGAGTATATTTACTACAATCATGAGTATTGTGAACTGAACACGCTTTGCAGTAACCCCATAGTTGACGATTAGTACATTCACTACCATCATGAGTAATAAATGCCATCTTTGAGTATACGGCAGTGTTTATTTAAAAAACAATGATTTATTTATGTGTGAAAGTCGTCGTTTGTGTTTGTATCGATTATGCATAAAAAATGACACAAGAATACGTACTACGTACGCCCAACAAACTGAGAAGGCTCTTATAACTTCTATTGTTGTGTACATGTAAATAACAAAATACATGCACCCTTTTAATATGTACTTCAATACCCGGATGATTTTCGATTGAGAAACTTTTAATATGCAATTCCATAAAAGTATCGCATAAGAACTTACTTACATTTAATAGCAAATTTTTGACCGGAAAACGAGGCTTTGCGCTCTCTTGTACATCCACACTATATTTATTTTTGTACTTGTAAAATACTTCAGGAACATAACGTTCTAAAGTACTTCCTTCACACACATCACACTAGGCCAGTGTTGTCACTGGACAGCTTTGGACATGCCTTTGGACAATCACGGACATTTTTGACAAAAAAAATCAAATTTACTCGAAATTTATTAAAATAATCTGTTTGGACACTAATTAAATTTAGAATTTCTCGTTGTATATAATCATATATTTTTTATTTAATCTTTTTAATAGTACAAGAGTTTGGACACTTGGACACTTGGACTGTCGAAAAAGTGCTTGGACATACAAAATGCACAACTGCACTAGGCTCTACACTCGGCTCGATGATGTCAGCAGCTACCATCGCCTCACAAGTACTAGAACCTCACCATTCTCGTTTCCTGTTATGACACATGTCACAAATTTACTCGAGAATTTTCCGGAAGCGCTCAATTTCGTGACATTGGGATTTTTAGTTTGCATCGCGGCAGAGAAACAGCATTCTTGGGAAGAAAGAAAATGTGTCGCTTGCAAATTACTTTTCCTTGATCTGCAGCCATAAGATCAGTGTATATCATTCCGACCTTATGATTATTCGAATTGTAATGTTTTTAATATTAGAATTAGCGAACGTTCTATTAGCCTGCATACTCGTAATTTCAAAAATCTCACTTTGAATAATCCACAAGCAACAGCCCCTCGTCAACTGACTCTTCTTCATTTTATGGGAGATTGAGACTTAATCCATCCGTTTGGTTTTCCTGTGGTGGCTAATAAAGCGCCTCCACAACTGCTTTCATACCTAATAGAACATCAAGATAAGGCTCATACCGTCCATATAAATATCTATCCAGTAGATCGCCAGAAATTAATGAAGTCATTAATGAGATTCGATGATCAACCATACGAATTGCTACAAAAGTTATTATGAAACCAATTAATCGAATCAATAAAAGGAATGCAGTCAATGTTGATTGTTCTCTTACTTGTTGTAATGTCAGTGCACTCGGTTGACATTTTGTACAAATACCTTGAATAAATTTGGCATTGGTGCCAGTTGACTTTACATATTCTTTTGGCACTTTTCGTGTTTGATCCGATTTTCTGCTAAATCAATAATTGAATGTAAATGTTGTAAGTTGGAATAAAATCTGTGTTGATTTGAAATTTGGCCCGCATTATAAAATTAAAATAACTCTGGCCAATATTCTAATCAACCTAAGTTGATTCCAAATCAACACAGATTCTATTCCAACTTAGAATACAGAATTAGTGTTATCAAGTAACAACTCAAAAAAAAAGACATCTACTATTTACCTCTAAGGCATGTATAGAATGCTTACAGCTAAACATGAAACCAAATTAATATTTACATAAGCAGCAATGAATACACATCGCTTCTACTAAAATCGACGCGCAAGCACACAATTCACGCGTACAATTTCGGAGCACATCCTCGCTTAATAAAACCAGACTGTTTCTCTAGATAATCTTCCACAACTTCTTGCTTTAAATTCAATGCTGATGATGAACTGGTATTCGCTGTTGGCTCAAATGGTCCTACTGTTGATGCTGACTGTTTACCAGCAGAAACTGCTGAAGTGTCTGGTTTCACTCCGTCTTCAAAAGTTACTTATATAAAATCACCATGACTAAAAAGATACGATACGAGTTCGTAAGACTAAGAAAATCTTGATAAATCATAAGGAATATTTTCTATCTTACTTTATTTCTAACTGAGCGATACTTTGTCTGGAAAGATATTTCGCTTGTACACCATTTTGCGGGTCTTTTGATATTTAAGTGTGGACGGATCAAATTTGAGTTGGATTGCAATCTTGATGGAAAAGACATTTGTTTAGTTTTAAAAAAATAAAGTTCATATTCATAGATTCATAGCTTAAAGCAAAGATTCTTACTTTTTCTGCCACCACCGTAATATCGTCATTTGGATCAACCTCAAAGCGACTCGTCCCCTCTCGTACAATCTTGAGTTTCAAATAGAAAAAGCAAATCAGCAAAAAGACTATTATTATACAAGTTCTTAAATGTTTTGAAATTACCATATTGTATAGTCTTAATTGGAAGAAAAATGTAGTAACAAAAATATCCTAGGTTTTACGAATAGAAACTCGATATATGTAAAAAAAAATACGTGTTTAACATGTCAACTTTCTAGCACAATTTAAATATTACGTAATTTAGTAGATCGTCACTTCAGCATTTAATAAAACCTAGTTAATGTTACTCTTTCCCGTAAAATAAGAGGGGAATAAGAATACTGACTAATTAATGAAAATGAGTAACTCGATAAAGTCGTGTATATGTCAATATATCTTTGGGCCAACACACTCTCAAATATAGGAACAATGCATGTACATGTATTTCTTAATTATTTGCAATTTTTAATTAATATAACAAAAAAAAAGAAAATAAATTTTTATTTTATAGTTAACATTTTCATCCATTATCAAATATCTTATTTTTCCCTGTATTCTTTGACATGCTTGGTATGTATTTTTTTATTATAAATAATAAAAATAAATTAAAAATTAAAAAAATTAAAAATTAAAAACGTATACGTATGTGTTACTATGACATCTAATTTTTCTCACTTTTACGTTTAATTTCAATACGTAATACATGTATATGTATTCAAGCTACGTACATGTATCTCTTGATAAGAATTTTACATGTATTATGTTCATCAAGAATTTTTTAGTGTAACTTGCGGTGAACCAATCATAAATTCAATATCACGTACGTAGTTTTTTCTACTTTTTAGATAAATGAATAATTTAGATTTCTCATTTTTTTCATTATAATTGATGTAATTATTGTAGCATATGACTAGGAATTGACG